ACAGTTGACATTATGTGTAATGAACTATGGTGTAGCTTTAAGAGCAAAAGTAATGACTTTGTTTTGGACTTGTGGGAAGTTTGACACACTTAATAAAATATAGGTCAGCAGGAGTATTAAGGAGACTGTTCTTCCTGTTTGCATCAGTGTATGTGTCTGCACGCACACAAAACCCCCCCGTTGTGTTGTTTGCTAACATTCTTGTCTTAATCTACTTCTTTTCACAGCACTTGTTTATACTTAAGTGGGCAAAATGCTGAACGTCCTGTAAAAAATCCCTGCGGTGACAGAGATTCAGGTTTCATCGACTAATAACTGGGGTTGTCATCCCCCTCGTCCGGAAATGGTTACTGTTTACTTAAAATCAGACATTCCAGCTCAAAACACCTCACTTATGGACATAAAAACAAAAGGGTTAGGCACACGTTGAAACTATTAACCCTGTGTTATTCTAAACCCTGGGTAAACAAACCCTGCTTCACATTTCCATTTGTAAAGTAGCCAGGGTTAGCAAATAAATTAGGTCTGTATCATCCTAAACACTGGGTTAACATCTTATTTGCAATGTGTTTTTGACCGGACAAATGCAGTGTTACCTTTTTACACCAAGGCTTTAGATTTGTGCATCCTCACATAATGTATAGGAAACCTATATATATATGTATATATTTATTTATATAGAGTTAGGAAATAAGTATTCAACACGTTACCATTTTTAACAGAAAACATATTTCTAAAGATCCTGTTGCCTTGAAACTTTCACTGGATGTTGATAACAACCAAAGAAATCCTTATATGCAAAGTCAACAGATTTAACTAGCTTACAAATTAAGTTATGTGTAGTAAAATGAAATGACATTGGAAAAAAGTATTGAACACATGAAGAAAGGGTGGTGTAGAAATCAGTGAAAGCCCAGACAGCAGCTGCAATCTCTCAGTAGTTATTCCTGCCTTCCTCATAGTAAATTAATATTAGCTGCTTCAGTCCAACATCTAAATTAGCAGGTTGATGAGATGAAACCAGGGTGGACATTTCAGCAAGACGATGAACCAAAACTCAGCCAAAGAAACTCTCAAATGACTTCAGAGAAAGAAAATCAAGCTGTAGAATGACCCAGCCAATCACCTGACTTAAATCCAATAGAAAATATAAATTAAAGATCAAGTTTGATAGATGAGACCCACCAAACCAGAGATTATAACTCTGTTAAAGTAAAAAAAATTCCACCTGAACAATTAATGTGACTTCATTCTCCATATGAGTCATCTTTAAGCAGCCATCACCAAGAAAAAAAAAAAAAAAACTTTTATATAAGGTATTAAATACATTTCAGTAGTTCTGTACTTTCTCCTTGTGTCATTCCATTTGTTATTATTCATAACAATTTTTCAGTATTTTTTGTTTTTTTATATTTGTGCGTGTATTCTACTTAAGAAATATTATTCCCAGGAACAAACATGACGTGTTGAATACTTTTCCCCCAACTGTTTATCTACTGTATGTATATATTTGCATATGTAAATTTTTAGATTATAAAGCTTTTAAAAATACTGTCTTTTTCATTTCAGCTGGTGCGCATGTATTTCCTTATCTGTATGAAGCCCATAAATACGCAATCACCGGCCACTTTATTAGATACACCTTACTTGTACTGGGTTGGACCCCCGTTTGTCTTTAGAACTGCCTTAATCCTTCATGGCATAAAAATTACGCAGTTGCTTCAGATTTGTCAGCTGCACATCCATAATGCGAATCTCCTGTTCCACCACATCCCAAAGGTGCTCTATTGGATTGAGTTCTGGTGACAGCGGAGGCCATTTGAGTACAGTGAACTCATTGTCATGTTTAAGAAACCAGTCTGAGATGATTCACGCTTTATGACATGATGCTTCTTCTGCTGCTGTAGCCCATCTGCCTCAAGGTTCAACATGTTATGCGTTTAGCATACTTCAGCTGTAACGAGTGGTTATTTGAGTTACTGTTGCCTTTCTATCAGCTGGAACCAGCCTGGCCATTCTCTTCTCACCTCTAGCGTCAACAAGGCATTTGCGCCCACAAAAGTGCCACTCACTGGATATTTACTCTTTTTTTGAACCATTTACACAATGTGGCAGTTCTGTGGCAATGTAACTAATGTCATTATTGAACAATTGTTTTTAAACAATATGACATTATTTAATTATTTTAGCAAGTTTAATCCAGAATTTAGTCTAAATATAGACATTTTGTCAAAATATAAATAAATTAATAATAATAATAAAAACTGGATGTCTTAGGCTGAGTACACACAGCATGATTTTCCTAATAATTGGAAAAAACGTGTTTAGTTTTAGTTCAATTTCTGCTGTGTTCATACTGCATAATGGACCTGTGACAAAAGAATACACACTGCATTAAACTAACAACACTAAACAATTGCTGACAATTCTGTTTCACAAACGTGCACAAGAAGTAGTAAGATCATGCATGAGACTGAATATAAATGCAAAAAAAACAAAA